CTCAGGCGACGCGGCGCTGCGCCGGGGCTCGGCGAACCGGGAGCGCGGGCAGGCCCGCCCGGCCGGCCCACCCACCCACCGACCGGCGGCGGAGGCGGCGGCGAAGGCTGGCGGCGGCGGCGCGATGGAGGCGGCCGCGCGGCGTGGAAGCGGCGGCGGAGGGGCCGGCGGGCCCGGGGGCTGCGGGTGCAAGGGGATCCGCGCCTGCCTGCTCTGCGAGGCCGCTCCGCCCCCGCAGGTACACGCGCGGCATCGAGGAGGAGGAGTGAGGGAAGGGGTGGGCGCTGGGGAGGGGGCCTGTTTGGGGAGGGGGCCCGGCGGCCGGCGGGGAGGGGTCCGGGCCGGCCCCGCCACTCGCGAGCCCCGCCCTCGCGCGGACGCGGGTTCAAGGCGTCGTGCGGAACAGGCCCGCCCTGCATGTGAGCCTGCGAGGCTTCCCGCCGCCATGGCCACGAGCAGAGCGTGGGCGAGCTGCAGCCCCCGCCGCCGACATGAACTGGGTCGAAGGCGGCCGGGACTAGTGCAGGCCCGCGTGGCGGAACGAACGGCGCCGGAGGGAGTCGTGCCTACCTGAGCCCCACCCCGTGAGGCGCACCGGGGTGCAGGGAGCCCTGATTAAGCTGGGCGGACATAAGCCGTGAGGCATTATGCGTCCAGTGTTGGAAGTTCCCCCATGGCACAGGCTGAGGGGACCAGCCTATTGCCCCCCAAGTAAAATTAGTTAGGCTTGTCCTTGTATGCTTTAAGATGTTTCATGGTGAGTGGGGGGGGGGTTAACCTCTGCCCTATTCTACATAGGTTCCCCCCCCCTTTTGGGGGGCCTTGTGCATTGAAATCCACTAAAACTAATGTTTGTTTTTGTTTATAAAATTTGTATGCCGTCCAATTACTTGCGTCTCTGGATGGCTTACAGCATAAATAAATTGACAACCCACTTTGGCTGCAAGTTAATAAAAATACAACAGTAAAATTCAATATTAAGACATATTAAAATATTGATTAAATAAAAAGGTCTTAACCTGGTGCCGAAAAAGATATAATGACGGCGCCAGGCAGACCTCTCTAGGGAGCAGATTCCATAGTCGGGGCGCCACCACAGAGAAGGCCCTCCTCCGGGTGCTCTGTCTCCTGACCTCTTTCAAAGAGGGTTCCCGGAGGAGGGCTTCTGTTGCTGATCTCGGGGGAGCAGGAGGGCAAAGTTTATTCTAACTTGTTGGCAAGTTTCTTGAATTCTGGTAATAGAAACCCTGTGAAAGCAATACGGTCTTTATTAATAAAATAATCACTATAAAAGATAATAGACTTCTGTCAAGACAAATGGTGCTGGAGAAGACTCTTGCGAGTCCCTTGGACTGCAAGGCGATAAATCCGGTCAGTCCTAGAGGAGATCAACCCTCTAGAAGGCCAGATGCTGAAGACAAAACTCAAATACTTTGGCCACCTAATGAGAAGGAAGGACTACCTGGAGAAGTCCCTGATGGTGGGAACAACTGACGGCAAAAGGAGAAGGGGACGGCAGAGGATGAGGTGGCTGGATGGGGACAATGAAGCAGTTGGTGTGAGTGTAAGTGGTCTCTGGGGGCCTGGAGGAATGTTGTCCATGGGGTTGTGATGGGTTGGACGCAACTTTGCAACTAACAACAACAAATCAAGACAAATAAGCAAAATACTCCCTTCCTTTAAAGAAAATAACCCTTAAATCAGTTTTAGAAATTCTGCTTGGCAAAGTAATGACTGACCTGTTCTGGTGGTTTTAGTCCATATGAACTAGCAGCCCCTTCCCAATTCATAGTAATCACAAAATGCAACATAGAGAAATTTCCTCAAAGACAAGTTGCATTAAATCAGTGTGATGCTAAGTCTACCACTACCTCTTTGTGTACTCAAGTATCCAGATTACAGTTGCAAATATTTAATGTTATCCTTTTTCTTTTTCTTACCCCTTCCCTATTTCTGTAGAAAAATGCAAACTTTGTTTACTGCCCACTGACTGGCTTTGCTGTGGGAGAAAAAGAATCCAAATTTGCAGGCTGGGCCTTTCCTTTTCCAGGAGTGTTTTTGCTGGAAAACTTCATAAGTGGAGATGAAGAACTCAAAATAGTTGAGCTGATGGATCGAAATGCTTGGAAGCCATCACAGTCTGGCCGAAGAAAGCAGGTCTTGTACTCAAATTGCAATTCCACTTAACTTGATTTCAGGTGTCAAGTTTTGAGCCTTTATTGAAAAGCGAACTCAGTGGTTCTCTCTTGTGAAGAGGGGAGGGGGGACGGGTGGTTTCTAGAGCATAAGAGCAGGACTGGGAGATTTGGCTTCATATCCCCACATGGCCATGAAGGTCAGTAAAGGATATCAAGCCAGTCACAGTCAAAATAAAAATGGGATGGGAGAGAAAACTACAGTGCTCTGAGCTTGCTGGAGGAAGAACTGGAGTTTAAAAATTAAAGGTTCAAAAGGGCAGAATTAAAAATACAAATATGTTATTTAACTCCTGATTTGTTTTAGATGAACGACATCGACCCAGAATTAGGGAAGGGCTGGGCCTTTATTTGGTGCCAATAATGCATGCTAGAGTTGGTGACTCCCCATATGCTTTGTGGGGGAGCATTCCTTGAGCTGGGCAGCCCCCTAGAGAAGCCCTGGTTCCTGTTTTCTGCAATATGCAGGCCGTGGTCCATTCAGCAGAGCCTCCTCTCTTGATGTTACTGAGTGGACAGTTATCCATCAGGGAAGTCAGTCAGCCAGGCATCCGGGGTCCCAGCGTGGCCAGGGCTGTATGTGCCCACTACAAGACCATACACGTGGCCCAAGACCTTACAGCTGCTGCAGTCGCTTTTGCACAGGGTCCATCACAAGGTACCCCACTCAAGATTTGGCCACTCCATTCTACACAAGCTGCCCCTTCCAGAACCAACATAAGGATGTGTGTGGTCCCTAAACAGCCTATTTTAAGATATGTTCGTGCTTGCATTTCTTCCCTTGCTCAGTAGGTGGTTGATTGCAATGGCCTCTGTGAGCGGGGAAAGACCGCTCCCATCCGAACTGATCAGTTTACTAACATTTCTTCAGCTGGGTGGCAGTTCTGCTCAGAAAACATAATGCTTCGTCCAAAGCAGTTTGGTAAGGTCAGTTAGTGTTATTAGCCTAATATTGCAAGAAATGGGGTGGGAAAACAGCAGCTAGTCTAAGATTGCTTAGAGAATTTGTGGCAGAAGTGAAATGTGAACCCGACTCAGTTCACAGATTTTTTAGTTAGTTTTTAATATTTATATCCTGCCTTTTTTCCTTTCAAGGAACTCGGGGCAGTGTACATAATTCTCCTGCTGTTCTCAGTCTTATACTCACAACAACCCTCTGCGGTGGGTTAGGCTAAGATTCTGCGACTCCCCATGGCTGAGTGGGGACAAGAACCCAGATGGCCCGAGTCCCAGCCCTGCCTGCTTAACCACTGCACCAGCTCAAGTGTCCCTTCTCCTTCCTTGTCTTGTAACAGGATTATGGCCCCAAAGTGAACTTCAAGAAGCGCAAATTGAAAGTGGGTACTTTTGCTGGGCTGCCCTGCTTCAGCCAGGAGATCGTGGCACGGATGAGAAACTATTCTGTGCTGGAGGGCTTTTTTCCTGTTGAGCAGTGCAACCTAGATTATGGCCCTGAGCGAGGATCCTCGATTGACCCACACTGGGATGACTGGTGGGTTTGGGGGGAGCGCCTGGTTAGCTTAAACTTGCTTTCATCAACGGTGCTTTCCATGTCTTGTGACTTGGACGACAGTTTCCAGTTATTCCCTGCCTTTCTACAACAAGACAAGCAGATGTACAGCTCCAGACCTCCGGATGTTTCTCAGGACCATCAAACTGTTGATCCCACTTCCACTGGGTCGGTTCCATTCAAAGAAGTAACTGTTGCCATTCATCTGCCTCGGAGATCCCTGGTGGTTCTCTATGGAGCCGCTCGCTATAAATGGAAACATGCCATTTATCGCAATCATATTAAAAGCAGGCGCATCTGCATCACTTTCAGGGAATTGTCTGCAGAGTTCAGTCCTGGAGGAGAACAGGAAGAGCTGGGCAAAGAACTCCTGGGAATGGCACAGACGTTCCAGGGAATACCTGTATGAGCATTCAGGTGAAAGAACTGGGACTCTTTGTTTGGCCACTGGAAATTAAAAATTCAGGGCTTTCGTAAATTGGCTTCTTGTTTTTCCTGAACTTGTTTTGAACCATTCTTCGAAATTTGTGGATTTAAGTGATCTGTGGAGGAACTCCAGGCTCCGAACTGGCACCAACCCAGCATTCTGGGATATGCCCCAGGCCACAGACTGATCTCTCATATGGGATACCAATCAGGTTTACTAGGCTATAGTCTCAGTTCACATGAAAAGGTAATTGTACCTGAATGTATTGCCACCCAGCACTAGAGAAGCAGTATCTACTCTGCAATACTAAAAACTGTAAAAATAATGGTACACTCAAACCGATTTCTCAAAAAAAAAAAAAAAAAGAAAAAGCAATTTCTGTTTTCAAATTGGGATTTGCCCATAAAGTTACATAAGGATATGGATCAAACTGCAGCTTGTGATGTATTATATGTCATCTCCCTCTAGCCACTGAATTTATGGGCAGCTTGCTTTTTACCGTGTTTAGATCTCAGTACCATCCAGCCAAAGAGAGGTATCAAATGAATTTATTCCTCTCATGGAGGAGTGTTAAACGATCCATCTTCCAAAATAAATGGAAGATAGATCTTCCAAAAATTGATATGAGAACAGATAAACCTTATTGAATTAAATAAGTTCCTTCTTTGCTAATTGGCAACAGCAATTCTAGGAACTGAGAATTGGGGAAGAGACCCACCCCCATAAACCTCTGGAATCCTGCATAGAAGTTTTGAAAAGACAAAATTTGGTAAATTGGTAAAATTTAAAGAAACATTGCATATGTCATCAATTAACAATGGTGACACATTCACCTTATCGTAACTATTGAAATCGAATGATGGCTATAAAATCAAGAGATATTTCCAACAGTATTACCCATAAATTCAGTTTAATCATTGAGAAATATCTATGCATCTGCATGCCAAGGAAAGTTAAATTTCAAGACAGCAGTGGAGTCTCCATTTAGTAGCAACTTCGTACTGCCTAGTGGTATTCAGATTTTGACCAATTTACCAGAAATTGATATTGGTATATATCAATCCATGCTATCAGTTTTAGTAAGGAAGACTCAAACCTGCTGATAAACAACAAGTTTTCTGATGTTTTATCTTCAATTTATATTTAAATTCGCAAAACCTATAAATTGCTCAGCTTAAGTGAACACAGGAAAGATTTCAAGCACAAATAAAATATCAAGGATGAAAGCAAGCAAGCAAAAGGCTTGAAAAACTTCCATTCCATCTACTCGCAACATAGAAAGAAAAGAAAAATATCCACTGTAAACATTTCTGGCAAAACACAAGTTTTCTAAACTCACAAGCATGTAATTTCCCCAAACACCTTTTTCTAGCATTAAATGAAACGATCACAGCCAAACCATTCTTTCAGTATTCTGTATGATCAGATTTACCACAAGTCTTAAATTATTTGCACGTTGTCTTTGAAAAATAAATCCAGCAACTTGATCAGGATGCACAAATGCTTGTATCACCTGCTGAAGTCTGCTAACAAGAATTGTTAGTATTTTAGTGTCCCCATCAATTAAAGAAATCGGCCCATAATTTGCAGTTAGTACAATCTTTACCACATTGAAGGAACAACAGAAATATAAACACCCACCTGCTTTGTCTGCATTTATCAAAGGAAGAGTAATGGTTGCCGACTAGTCACCCTGAATCTTTTCATACAGCAAGAGTGGGGGGCCATTTTTCTCTCTTAGTGGCCACATACTGGAAGAGGGAGTGGCCAAACCAAAGGTGGACCTGGTTGCCCACTTTTATATCTTTTTCCTAGCACCCTCTTCCTCCTCACTGAGTGGGTAGCTGGGGAGGGAAAGAATAACCCACTGGAGTGAACAACTGCTGAGACCTTTATCACAGAGTAGCCAAGCCATTTCACAGCTTTATTAAGAGCATTAAGAAACTAACAGGGAATTGAGAAAGCATGGACAGAAGCAGCAGAAAGTGAAAAAGCCAACTTAGCTCTTGTTCTGCATTCATGAGCAGGACAAGCTGTACCTTCCCCCGCCCGCCCCCCCTTAGCCAGCATGAATCAGATTTCCCAGGGCTGGAGAGTTCAGCAGCCTGGATGTTGCAAAGGAGAAGGGCCTTCCCCGTGTTCCCAACATCATTAGAAAGTGGACGTCGTAAGCAAGCATGGCTTAATACCACCTAAATGCTTGTCCTAGCTCCACAAGTACGAGGGATAAAGACTTGGAAAGGAAAGGCGAATGTGCGTGGAAGTGCCTTTGCCAGAGGGATTTTCCCACCCTGAGATCTGGAGACTTGCAAGGTATGCACTTCATGGCAGATTTCTAGATGCGCTGCATGCACACACCCATTGGTACTTTACGTAAGCTCATGCACTCTCTTAAAAACAATTTCAAAAAAACAAAGAGGAATGACAAGCAAGATCCAGAAGTACTTAAAGGATCTCCAAGCAACAGTTAAATGAAAAGATAACAAGCCATTTTCAGAAAAGGAACAGCACAGATCACCTTTTGTTCCCACCTTAAGGACCTGTGTTCCTCCAAGCATGTGATTATCTGCTGATTAGGGTATAATGCAAAGATCCCCAGGTAGCAGACCTCGGATGGATGATGAAATCTCACATCTTATTACACCAGCCCAATTGTTTTTTTCATGTCAATGATAGGAAACCGCTGTGGCTGAATGCAACCCAATGTTAGCATGTACAAAAGCGTAATAAGCACCTTCTGTACACCTTGCAGCTTCCCAGATGGCACAGTAGGCTGAGTGAGAGGCTGCTGGTGAACAAAATAGTTGCTTTAGCTGAAGCCAGAACATTTCACAATGCTGAGAGATGCTTGAAGGGAAATGAAGAGCCTCTCCCCTGTGGGACGACACTGGTACACCTGTCCAGTCAGTACTAAAGAATCAAGAACAGCAGAGCGTCCGTCAGAGCTGCTTAATAAACAGAATGGGCCTGCAAACAGCTGCTCCTTTCCTTCTCTCATGGGAGCTGGGAAATAATCTAGAAGTCTTCGTTAACTGTAGCTTCCTGGTGCAGCCAAGCCGGACAGGGGTGATCAGTGGCTTCCAAGCAATCTAAACTGTGAAATCATGGTCTGGAGTTGGGATTCTTTTTTATTTATCCTAGTTTAAAGGAGGTTTGATTTCCTGGTGTGTTTGAAAGCCATGAACTACAGTTTGTTTCTTAAGAGGTAACAGAAAATTAGATGAGGCTTCCTGGCTTGTTTGTTCACTCGTGTCAGCAGAATAATGAAGCTGAGACAAGACTTTGGGCATGGCCTAGCCACCAGCTAGTGCAGCATCCTGTTTCTAACTGGGAAGTCAGGTGCCTCCCGGAGGCTCCCAGTATTCCATCTCCAGAGATTCCCTGCATACAAATGGAACAAATTTCCATCTTAATACCTTAACTAAAGGAGGGCTTGGTGGTTGCAGCAGCTCGCAGCTTGTTTCTTCCCTCTACCCTGCTCTGCCTGACATTTAGCTTCAGGACTACAGAGCCAATGTGGTGGTAAGAGTACTGGACTTGGGCCCAGGAAATCTGGGTTCTAGCCCCCCTTCAGCCATGGAGTTCACTGGGAGGCTGGGCCAGTTGCAGGCTCTCAGCCCAACCTGCCTCACAGGTTTGTTGCTGTGAGGGTACAATGGAGCTACATAAGTCACTTTGGGTCCCTCAGGAGGGAAAAAGACAGAATACAAATGCAATATAGTAATAATCTTTCGAAAATGAAAGTACACCTGCTATTTTGTGAAGTTTGAGTTGACCTTACTTATTTCCTTCAAATTTCTTCTTCCACACAGAACCTCTGTTTATCTAAGATAAAAGGCATTAATAGGCATATCTTCCATCAATCTGCACTTAGTTATTCTTGACCTGTAGCCACCGCCTCATCCAGTGGTGGCCCAATCCGTATGTCAGGAGTGCAGGGCACTGGGGTCAGGGACCAAAACTGGGGCCCCAGCACGGTTCCTTGGGGTTGTCAGATGGCCCTGCTGTCGTTAGTCCCACACTTTTGTTTGGACTCGTTTGTGGTTTTATGACCTTTGTGTACGTTCCCACCCCATCCGAAAAGGTGAAGCACCTTTTCTCAAGGTTTGTGCTACTGGCAGAAGGAGATTTAAGTTAAAATGCACTGATATTATGGTTCCACCTCTGATGCCTTCTGCCATGCCCACTGCTGCAAAGTGGCAACCGGGAGCCAAGCCCAGGGAATTTGGCCTCAGACCGAAGAAGACTCAACACATCGTGTGCTGCCTGAGCAAATACTTTCATACTTTGCCCGGGCATAAAATCCATTGCATCCATCCGTAGTCCAAGCTGGGCTGGGAGCAAGGGCTGCTCAGAAGCTGCTGGTCTTCCTGCAGTCAATGTCAGGCAGCTCCTCTGCTCATTTTTTATTTCCTTCTTCTTAATGTCTTTTGCATGCATAATAGCCCTTTTCCAATCCAATGATAAAAGAGCAAGCACAAAAAAACAGAACTCTGTTCTTGCCTTTGTGTTCCGGCCAGTCAATGCCAAGAGATCAGGGTGACCTGCAAGCGCTGGGGATCCAGTCAAAGTGTTTAAACAAAAGGCCCTTTTGGCAGGTGCTTGCAAGATTGGAGGCTTTGGGGAAGCCAGGCAGGTTTCATCTTGCTCTCATTCTGCCAGCAGATCAAGACAGTTTTATTCTGGCGGGCCTTTGGCATGCAACGCACCTGCTGCTTAAGTTTCGATTTGTTTTTGCAACTGGTTGACCCAGTTTATCTCTTTTACTCTTGTCCTTTTAGTTGTGCTTTTTCATTTGCTACAATTATTTTAAGCAGGCCCTTGTTTTAATCTTGGCATTGTTATTGCTAGCCACCAGTGTTTGGTTCACAAGTTAGGATATCAAATCAAGGCAGAACTGGCCCTGGAAGAAAAAGGGCAAGAGTGAGGCTGCCCTAATTGAGGCTCGTTATGAAAAGGAGACACCCTGCAGAGGACAATCACGCGGAGGCAAGGCAAGCTGAAGGCGGAAGAGGAAGGCCAACTAAGAGGGGGATCGACTCCATCAAGGA